TGATTTCTATACGTAATATTCTGGAAATTGTATTATATTACATTTTTTACACTAACTTATTTAAAAAAAGAATTTGAAGGTCCAAAGGTGCCTCTATAAAAATATGTCGTTCGAGTCATATATCGCATTTGATCCGCGTTATGGGCGCATACTGGTGGCAGTATTCGACGCACGGAGGATTGTAAGATATATAGTAACACTGAAATTATAGTCTTTTTGTAATTTTCAAAATTATGTCTTTTATTTTGAAATGAATTTCTAATGTATTATAAACGGTAGTAAACGTAAAAGATGTAATGATGTTATGCATTATGAAATCGAAACGGATATCAGTATTTGTCAGCGTATATTTTGTAAAAGTGTCATAGTTTTAATTTGATTGAAACTAAAGTCAACGGGATTATCAAAATGTTCCAATCTACTTCTGATGCAACCATACTGTAACCATGCGTACTTAAACAGTTTTTTATACCTAGGTGCGGACAATTGATTATGAATTAAAGGACACATTTTGATAATTATGTCCCATGCCCGTACCTTAATTTGTAAATCTAACGCAGGCAAAAGATTTAATATTTAATGCGCGAAATTTTTCCATGTTCTATAACCACATACATCAGAAGGTTGTATTAATCCAGTAGCGATTTTTTAATACTTAAAACTGTCAAAGTTTTATTTGGCGATATGATATTTCTTATCAAAATTTTAAAAAATTAAAAAATTATTAAAAAAGTGATATTTTCAAAGTTACCCAATCTAATAATATATATTTTACAATCGTGAAGCAATTCTTAATCAACAGATGTAATTCCTTTAATTGCACGTATTCAACATCATTATGAAGATATTACAACAGAAATCAGTTGTGCACCGAACGGAAGGTATAAAATGTATGTATAACTTCAACGACAATAATATTTTTTCCACAAGCGAAATTAAAAATTCCAATTTATCCGTATTTTGTCTTTTGACCTATAGTCTACATGTGCAAAATTTGATCAAAATAGTACAAAGTTTCATTAAAAAAATTTACAAAATAATGTTAATTTTTAACATATTTTTTAAACAAATAAATTTTTCAAAAATCCACTTAGGCCATATTATTGGCCTTCTAAAACAGAAAAATTTGCACTTTTAATTTTTTGTCTAGGCCTAATAGCTCCTGAAATATTCGAGAAAATATGTTTTGCAACCCCAACTTTGGGGGCCATTTTCACCCCTTCAGCATGGACGATGGCCGATAAAAAAAAATACGTGTCAAATATTTTTTTGCGTTCTATATCATACTCAAA